CCTTCGAGTCTACTCTGATAGCCCAAGGTCAATCAAACTGGGACCAAGAAAAGGACTTGATCTTAAAACAAAGTCAAGAGGAAACAAAATGAATTAATTCTATTATCACGATGGTTTTACTTTATTTATTTTGTTGTAAATTGCGTTTAATTAATAACTGAACAATACTTTTTATTTATTTTGAAAAATGGTGAAGAGAATGGATTTAAAGAACCATGATTTTCTTTTAATGAATCAAGCTATTAAAATTCATCTTAATGAAAAATTTGATAAAATAACTAAGAGAATAATGATTTCTTGTGTCAAAATGTAAACGTCTTCAGATATTCAATTAAACTTTTATTTCTCTAAGAATAGGAATTTTAATAAGAATAAGAATTAATTAATTAATTAATTTCAAAAAGTACCCTTTGACATGGTAGATTGGGATTACTAATGGGAAAGACTATTTTTCTCAATTAAAAAGGAAAAGTTCATTAATAAGAGATATTGAATCCCATTTTATGTTGAAGTTAATTCATTATCTTTTGGAAGCTTTACAATGTTGGGGAACAGTATTTACGTTATATATTTAATATAGAGCTTTTCCTTTTGTTATATATATTTTAAAACATAATTTCATGTGGATGTTATATATAATGTATAATTCTAAGGTTTAATTATCCTTTTTTCTTGGCTTATAGTTCACTTCTTGCAAAGATACTTAAGTAACTTTTTGTTAACCTATGAAATTAATTTTGGTGTCTATCGAATCCTATTAACTTATTGTGGGCAAGAAAACTAAAACAGTTCTGCTCTACTTTGTTTTAGTGTGAAAATAATGAAGGAAATATATGTGATTATGACTTGTCATTTGGGATTTAAAGAATATATATTTGTTTTTGTTATATATATTTTAAAATTGAAATGAAATTATGTTTCTTTATCTATATACCTCACACATCTAAACTTCATAGTTTTAAAACCTAGACCGGACTAGCCAGTCCGATCAGGAATGGGCCCCTTATCTGGTCTGGGAACATTATAAACTCGGTTTCAACCATTGGATCGGATTGACCCAAGGTTGAACTGGCAGAACAATGCCGAACCCCATTGGCTCAACTTCTGAGTCAAAGAACCGATGGTTAAACCGAGTCAGATTAACAACATTGCAAAGTTATAAAATGTCCAAAAACTTGCAAAAACACCCCTAAAAAATATAAAAACGTCCAAAAAACATGCAAAAACACTCCTAAAAATATAAAAACGTCCAAAAACCCCTAAAATGACTCTGAAAGGCTAAAAGATGATGATACTATTCATCCTGTAAAAAATAACCGCATTCTAACGTTGTTGACACTATTCATCCCAGGGGGCCCTACATCAATGCTGATGTAAACATGACGTCACCAGTCTCACTCATCGGTTGGAGTTCAGAATGCCCGACCCAGGGAGCGATCCCTTGATCAGGTCAAGGTCCAGTCCGGTTATAAAAACATTGCTTAACTTAATTAACCGAGTTTTCAAGTACAAAAATAAGATTTGTTTATCCCTTTTTTACAATTTCTTATTTATTTGAATTACTAAAAATTACATAATAATATTAAAGGATTATTAATATAAATTACTACAAGTACAGAAACTGGGATTTTATGACTCATTTTCCTAAAAATTTCTTTGTAAAATTGTATTTCTTTAGAAAAACTATTTAAAGATTAATACAATTGTAAATATGAATAGAATTATGATAGTCATATTAAGAGTAGAATAAGATTCTTATGAGGAGTAGAATATCTCATGTATCACCTATAAATATGAGGGGAGTGAGAACCAAATCAAGATTATAAGGGGGTGAGAACTAAATCAAGATTATGAGAGAAGGATGAGTTACAGCAAAATGTTGTTTAAACACCATNCCGATTTCCTCGAGCCTAGAGGAATCGGTGGTCACCTAGGGGTCCTGTAATAAACATCTTAAGTCTTCAAGTATGGTTGCCTCGTCCTTTGCTCCGTGTTCAAGTACATTACAAAAATATCATTCTAAATTTACAATAAAATAATTATACAAATTCTTTACATCAATAAATTTAGAAACCTCGATTTACATTCGAGGGGAATGAGATGAGAAGAGAATGTACATCGAGAATAGGAGAAAGGCAGGACACGCAGACCCTATTTAATAAATTATACAACCATACATACCCAAAAATATTTTAAAATATTCACTCTTAGGTCTAAGGCTCATGTACCGCGCACCATGCAATATATAAACAAGTACAAAGCATACATTTAAAAAAAAATCAATTTTTGAAATTTGTGGGTTAATTACCATTTACCCCCTGATAATTTGTACAACTACATTTGGTCTAAAAGTTTTAAAACTTTACATTCTGGCCCCTGTACACTCGGAAGTGCGCTCTCTGTGGCGATGAGTTAGATTGCCGCAGCGTGCGTTGATTACTTAACATTCATGCTATCGCCGCGGCGAGCGCTGTTTTCGTACATCACTCGTGCAGAAGACGATCGCCATGGGGAGCGCTAGTTTCGTCACCAGCGTGAGCGTGAACAACGCTCGCTGTGGCGATGGGTTATATCGCCACGGCAAGCGTACACAGATTTGTAGCTCCGGATCTGTTCATACAATAACCATACACTTTAAACGGATTTTGCAACCAATCAAACACATTGATCTCAACAAAAATCCATCAACCATTATACCAAACCAGCAGATCATCAACAAATTAAAATTAATCGATTAATAAATATATTAAAACATGATTTTAAGGCAGAATCTATAAGGCAACATTATATCAACAAATATATGTTATCAACCATCCAAATAAAAATTGTAAAATTTGCTACCCTAGGCTCTGATACCACTGTTAGTAAACAGTCCTATATACATAGCAGAAACAAAAAAAATATAATACAAGGATCGTTTACATGAGCCAAGATCAAGGGTATAATTTTACAATTTATATTAAAGTAAAATCTGCACAAAAGGTTATTCATGAGTTTAGAACCATACGCATGTTTGGAGGCTCCACCACGTTTGTCTTTGAACATTTTGTTACCGACCCAAGCGTAGGATCGAACCCATGTAGTCCACACGAAGACAATTACAAAAGAACTAAAGAGGGATTTGCTAGATCCTCTTTGACTTTAAGATTAAGAAGAAAGGAAATCAAATTGAATTGATTTTAGGCAAAAAAGTGTTTCTACCATGGGAGAGAATGAGAGGGGCTGCTCTGTGTGTGTGTTTTTTTTTTAAAGAGAAATCAATTCCTTTTCAATTAACACACACTTTTCTTTTATAGTAAATCATGTTGCCCTATTCCCATATGGAATAGGCTTGGGCTCCAACCCAAACACCCCATGTTACCAAACACTCCCAATTTGATATTTGATTTTCCATCATTATCTCAATTAAAATCAATTAATATATATATATATATTTAATATATATTAACATTTAACAATAATGATAATATATTTAAATATGTGCGAACACATATTTAAACGTAGTTTCACTTATTTAATTTTTCTAATAAATTAAATAAAGGCTACGACCTTCAGCAAATTTAATTATACTGTGAAATTACCAAAATACCCTTTCGCCTTAAAAAGATGAAAACGCCCTTCATTCTTCTTGGATCTTAAATTATCTTCTATGTGTGTGACCCATAGGCTCCTCATCATACCAGCAATGTTAGTATCGCGATTAACACCAGTCGTCTCACTAAGACACATAGCAAGTTTGGCCCCTGGCAAGGCATCATGGCCACCCGATAGATTTAGATTCAGCAAAATAGCTACCTGTCAACGATATGGTTACCGTGCAATTCGTTTCTTTCATCATCCGTTATCTCGACAAAACAAAGGCATAGAAATAGTGTCAACCTTCGGTTACTCTCGATATTATGTATTCAGTTTCTGGACCAATGACCTGTATTATAATCAGGATAGAGCAACAACTCAATCCCACTGTGGCCATAGTTTTAGTGTCATTGCCATCTACTGAATTGCGCCGTGAGATAACTTCTCCCTTACCCGAGAGTGATGAATCCTCTGTTGATCCACCATAGTCTTGATACACTCCTTGATGCAGCCAATCACCACCGTATTGACAGCTCTGAATAGAACCGTGTTAGGCTAGTGTCAAACTGCACTAATCGGTGCACAAGGTACTCCGGTGATCTCAAGTCTAAGGAGCACATGTACCACCATTCGTTAGAGGATTTGTTCCATAGACATTGGGGTTACCATCCATATGGAATCCTCTGGTGGGTCAGTCCAGTGAACTTGCTACTGTATATCCACCTACAACAAGCACCCATGTGTTGTACCAGGTTGTCACCAAACAACCTTGACAAGTGAGATCAGTCACTGCCTTTCGATAGGGTCATTCAACCCTATCTGTGCCCTTACTTCAGAATGATACTGGGGCTACAGACGTTTCTAGAATGGCTACCATATGTGCTCAGAGGGTTCTCACTATCAAGATTTGAAACACTTGATACCCTCGTCACGGTTCTACCATTCTAAGGACATATATCAATACATATTGCAATAATAATGATTTATGTGATATAGAATAAAATGCTTTTTATTGATTAATGAACATTATAATTGACTGGCTCTAGGGAACCTACTCCAACATATTAGTGTAAAAGAAGGATATATGTCCAGAACATAGTTTAATAATCTCATAGTACAACCAATGTTTAAGATAATATGATCTCATGATATGTATTTAGGTAAAAATCTAAGGTTATTTTTTTAATGGGAAATCTAACAGAGAAAATAAGAAAAATCATCGCTTTTTAATAACTTCTTTAATTGACTTAAAAGAGTATGGTCTGGAGAAAAGGGGGGCCCAATAACGTCTTGGAAACTTTGAATTAAAAAGTATTAAAAATTAATCTAATCCAAAGCCTCCTAGATGATAAAGGAATACACAATATAAATACGATGCTAGATCAATGCTCTCATGCTCAACGCCATTGGCCATGAAACCAAGCATGAGTATTGTTCTTCCTGTTCTTGTCTTACTTGCCTTGGCAACCATCAACGTTTGTTTCTGCAACAACAGAAGCACTCACCTAAATTGCATCGAAAGTGAGAGACAAGCACTTTTAAAATTGAAGCAGGATTTTGGAGATGAATCAAACATGCTTGCTTCTTGGAGTGGTGATGGAAAATGCTGTTCATGGGCTAGTGTTATCTGTGGCAATTTGACCGGCCATGTCCTTGAGCTCCACCTTGAAGGCAATTTGACACGATTCTTGAGAGGCAAGATAAGCCCCTCTTTGGCTGATTTGAAAGATTTGGTTCACTTGGACTTAAGCAACAATTGTTTTGTGGATATTATTCCTCCATTCCTCGGTTCTATGAAAAAGTTAAGGTACCTTAATCTTTCTTATGGTGGATTTAGGGGAATGATTCCTCCTCAACTCGGAAATCTTTCCGATCTGCAGTATCTTGACCTTTCTACACATGGCATCTTGACAGGAATGATTCCTCATCAATTGGGAAATCTTTCCAACTTGAGATATCTTGACCTCAGAGGTGGGATTGGCTTGAATGTTGAGAATTTGTCTTGGCTCTGTGGTCTTTCTTTGATGGAGCGCCTTGATTTGAGTGGTGTGAACCTCACTAAATCCTCCAACGGGCTGCTGGTGATAAATCATCTCCCTCTTTTACAAGTGCCAAAATTGTCAACGTGAAAACTTCATCACTTTCCTCCCTTACCAATTGCAAACTTTTCATCTCTTACTATCCTTGATCTTTCTCTGAACCAATTAGGTACCTCTATTCCTAGTTGGATTTTTGGTCCTAAAGACTTGGTCTTTCTTTCACTATATGGTAATGATTTTCAAGGTCCAATTCCAAATGGACTTCAAAACTTGACATCTCTTAGGCACTTTGATTTGTCTAGGAACTTATTCAACTCTTCAATACCCGACTGGCTGCACAAATTTAGTTTCCTTGAGTTCTTTTCTCTTGAAAGGTCTCCCTATGACTTCATACCATGTGGTAAACTTGAAGGTAGTATTCCAAGGTCATGGGAAGACTTTGTAACTCGATATCACCTGACTTAAGCTATGTCAAGTTGAATCAAACAATATCTGAAATCTTAGATATCTTTTCAGGTTGTGTTTCAAATGGCCTAGTGTCATTGGCTTTGAATCGAGCACAACCTTTTGGTCATTTAACCGACCAGTTTGGAAAATTAAAAAATTTTCTATTGATCTAAGTTATAACTTCATAGTTGGTTATGTTCCAGATTCTTTAGGACAACTTTCATCCTTGGAACAAGTAGATCTTTCCTTTAACAAATTGGAGGGAACTATATCTGAAATTCACTTTGTCAATCTCACAAGACTATATGCTTTTGATGTATCTAAAAACTCACTATCATTGAAAGTTAGTCCTGATTGGATTCCTCCTTTCCAACTTAGAGTGCTTGGTTTGCGTTCTTGTCATTTAGGGTCTCGATTTCCATCGTGGCTTCCTTTGCAAAAGAATTTATTTGCTTTGGATATATCAAACTCAACACTTGTAGAGACCATATCTATTAGGTTTTGGGAATTTCTTTCCCAAATTTCTGTTTTAAATCTCTCACACAACCAAATTCATGGAGAAATTCCAAATTTAAGGGAGACTGCTCCTTTTGGAAGTCTGTACTTGCAGTCAAATAGTCTATTAGGTCCATTGCCTAATATGTCTTCCTCGCGTCCCGCTGAAATCAATCTTTCCAACAATAATTTCTGAGGATCCATATTTCAATTTTTGTGTTCTGGGTTTAACAATCCTGAGTTTCTCAACCTTAAAGGAAACTTCTTATTTGGAGAGTTGCCCGAGTGTTGGGAGTATTTCAAAAGTTTGAAGATACTTGATTTTGGGAACAATAAATTTACGGGGAACCTTCCAACCTCCATCGGAAATTTGGATTCCCTTCAGTCACTTCACCTTAGAAGAAATAAATTTTCTGGACCATTACCTATGTCATTTAGAAATTTAGCAAATTTAAAGATACTTGGAAAAAGTCAAAATGAGTTTGTCGGAAAAGTTCCAGCATGGATCGGAGAAACATTTTCAAGAATGATAATTCTCAACCTCTATTCAAATAAGTTTTATGATGTTCTACCGGTGGAACTTTGTCAGCTATCTTCTCTGCAAATCTTAGACCATGCTTATAAAAATTTCTTTGGAACAATACCAGCATGTCTCAATAATTTCAGTGCCATGGCGACAAAGCAATACTCCATAGGTGACCGTTATCTGTTCAATGAAATCACGGGTGAGAAATTTATTGTGGATGTTCGCCCTGTTATGAAAGGACAAATTGAGGAATATAGCACTATTCTTAATTTGGTAAGAATTATAGACCTTTCCAGAAACAATTTTTCTGGAGAGATTCCTATTGCAGTAACAAACCTTGAAGCACTTCAAACACTGAATTTGTCGAATAATTTTCTTACCGGAGGAATTCCTAGAACCATTGGTGCTATGACATCTATAGAATCCCTTGGTTTCTCTAGCAATCATCTTTCAGGTGAAATGCTATGGAGTATTTCGAACCTGACTTTTTTGAGTCACTTGAACTTATTCAATAACAACCTCATTGGGAGGATTCCTTTGAGCACTCAACTACAAAGTTTGGATGCATCTTGTTTTGATGGAAATGACCTTTGTGGAGATCCACTTCCTAAGAATTGCCATACGACTGATTCAATGTCAAACTACAAAGATGAATGTGAAGTGAATTGGTTTTATGTAAGCATGCTAATTGGGTTTATAGTGGATTTATGGGGTGTAATTGGTCCTTTGCTTGTCAACAGACGAGGGAGGTACAAGTATTGTTATTTCTTAGATTGTCTAGGGAACAAACTTTACTATTTTGTAAAAAAATGTTGCTAGATCCTTTATGTTCTAAGCTATATTTGTGTATGGTTGAAGACAGAAATAACTAATGACATAAAGATGATGTTATCATTCCAAAGAGTTTATTCCATTTTAAACTTGATCTTTTGTTATTGAAGGTTATTACCATTTGAGATATTATTGTCATCCTCAGCGAGTGAATTCTAATTATAACAGCAAAGAACAACACTATAAGAAAAGATAAAAAGGTCTAAAAAGACATATAATTCTCATAATTTGATTTAAATCTTAGAAAGTACAAGTAATAGTGAATGCATTTGTTTAAAATTGCAAGATATGCACCTATATTAGGAACATTTAGTTAGAACTAGTGATGGCAATGGGCCGGGCCGGGACCGGGTACCCCTTGGCCCAGGCCCAAGCCCGACCTGATGGCCCAGGCCCAAGCCCGGCCTGAGCCCGCTGCGGGTATGATAAACAAAGCCCAGGCCCGGCCCGACGGGCTTTTTAGGACCGCAGGCCCGGCCCAAGCCCGCATTTTTTTGCCATCATTTTTGCAGTGTAACAAAATTGTAGCTTCATGAATATAGATATAGTACTTGACCAAGTACTCCAATTTATCTGCCTCTGTAAATTGATTTTGAAATTGGAGTAGCCAAGGCTAAGCTTTATTTCTTANTCAAGAATGATAATTCTCAACCTCCGTTCAAATAAGTTTTATGATGTTTTACCGGTGGAGCTTTGTCAGCTATCTTCTCTGCAAATCTTAGACCTTGCTTATAACAATTTCTTTGGAAGAATACCAGCATGTCTCAATAATTTCAGTGCCATGGCAACAAAGCAATATTCCATAGGTGACCGTTATCTGTTCAACGAAATCACGGGTGAGAAATTTATTGTGGATGTTCGCCTTGTTATGAAAGGACAAATGGAGGAATATAGCACTATTCTTAATTTGGTAAGAATTATAGACCTTTCCAAAAACAATTTTTCTGGAGAGATTCTTGTTGCAGTAACAAACCTTGAAGCACTGCAAACACTGAATTTGTCAAATAATTTTCTTACCGGAGGAATTCCTAGAACCATTGGTGCTATGACATCTATAGAATCCCTTGATTTCTCTGGCAATCATCTTTCAGGTGAAATCCCATGGAGTATTTCGAACCTGACTTTTTTGAGTCACTTGAACTTATCCAACAACAACCTTATTGGGAGGATTCCTTTGAGCGCTCAACTACAAAGTTTGGATGCATCTTGTTTTGCTGGAAATGACCTTTGTGGAGATCCACTTCCTAAGAATTGTCATGCGACTGATTCAATGTCAAACCACAAAGATGAACATGAAGTGAATTGGTTTTATGTAAGCATGCCAATTGGGTTTATAGTGGGCTTCTGGGGTGTAATTGGTCCTTTGCTTGTCAACAGAAGATGGAGGTACAAGTATTGTTATTTCTTAGATTGTCTAGGGAACAAACTTTACTATTTTGTAAAAAAATGTTGCTAGATCCTTTATGCTCTCAGCTATATTGGTGTATGGTTGAAGAGAGAAATAACTGTTGAAATAAAGATGATGTTCTTATTCCAAAGAGTTTATTCCATTTTAAACTTGATCTTTGTTATTGGAGATTATAAGCATTTGAGATATTATTGGCATCCTTAGCGAGTGAATTCTAATTATAACAGCAAAGAACAACAATATAAAAAAAGAAAAAAATGTCCAAAAAGACATATAATTCTCAGAATTTGATTTAAATCTTAGAAAGGACAATTAATAGTGAATGCCTTTTTTTATAATTGCAAGATATGCACTTATATTAAGAACATTTAGTTAGAAATATTTCGTAATTACCACACTTTAATGAGTGTGCGGAGCAATGAAACCTGACCAACTTGTTTTGCCAACAATCCGGTGATTCGATCCATGTATAGCAGATAAAGCCCATATCTGCTTTCCAAAAGTTCTGCTGCTTTTCTTGCTTGGAGGACTGATTTTACCCACTTTTCAAAGAGCTCTGCAATGTCATAATTGATCAGCCTGGTATATTTTGGGCATTATCAAATCCAGAAATGCTTTAAATAAAGCTGGGTCGAGGATCGAATGAGAAGAAAAACCAGATAACTATACACTTTCCAGAATAAAAACAGAAATTTTTGAGAGAAAACGAATTTTCCAGAAAAATAAGTCCACGTTGGCAATCCGTTGATTTAAAAGAAACACAAAGTGACTGCCTTTTAACCATTGATCACATCTCTAGTCTTGCTGAGCTGCAGTTGAATTAAACCCAGAAAACTCTAGCTTTAATCTGAAACTATTGAGACTGTGACTTGTGAGCTTCATCTATATACTAAACTGCACCATTTCACTAAAAAGAATTAACGCCACTTAACAGAAACTTGTTAATGAAACCATTGAGCAGTAAATTTTAGAAAACAACGTTATCAACTAAAGCCAACTAAGGCCTCTTTAACAAAAACTGTTGCAGCCGCCGTTAATATAACCATTGAGCAGTGAATTTTTGAATATGAATCTGGAAATTTGAGTATAAACTGGAAAGAACAGAGCTCTCTGTCTCCTTTCTGTTTTAGCCGCTGATTCCGTAACGTCAAGAATTTGCTGCTGCAGTATTTCAAACTTAACCTTTTTGAGTCACTTGAACTGTCCAACAACAACTCACTGGGAGGCTTCCTTTGAGCACACAACTACAAAGTCTGGATGCATCTTGTTTTGTTGGCGATGACCTTTGTGGAGATCCACTTCCTAAGAAATGCACTACGATTGATTCCATTCCAAACCATTAAGGAAGAGGAGAAGATAGATATGAACATAAAGTGAATTGGTTTTATGTAAGCATGCAACTTGGATTTGTGGTGGGCTTTGGGGTATAATAGGTCCTCTTAATTGTCAATAGAAGATGGAGGTATAAGTATTGTCATTTTTTGGGTCGTACAGGGAACAAATACTTTTGTTGGAAAAAGTCAGAATAACAAAGGCTTCGTCTGGTTCAAGATTGGGAATACTACTCTTAGTATTCCCAAAAAAGTTAAACAGTAAAATACCCAAAAACTCTCATTTTTGGGAATACTATTTTCAATATTATTTAATTTCTTTTAAACCCTCTAAATTTGTTAATTTAATTAAATACCCCTAAATATTTTTTTAAAATTACAAAAACACCCCAATAATCCACATTTACCAGATTCCGGCCACCACCACCGGAAAATGGCCGGAATCTGGTAGGATGGCGCACTACCAGCTGAATCTGGCCGGTAGTGCACCGATCTAGCCTTTTCCGGCCAGATCCACGGTGGATCTGGCCGGAAAAGGCTAGATCTAAGGCCACAGATCTGGCCGTTGACGGCCAGATCTTTGGTCGTAACAGTCGATCACGACGGCCAACAAACAATCATCGTTGACCATCAACGACGACCGTTTGTTGGCCGTCGTTGAGAGCAAATACGACCAGATCTGGCCGTAGATCTGGCCGAAAAAGGTCATATCGGCGCATGACCGGCAAGATCCAGCCAGTCATGCGCCCATAAGGCGACTCCGGCCACCTCCGGTGGTGGTGGCCGACTGGGGGTGTTTGAGGGTGGGTTAGGGGTATTTTTGTTAACTTTTAATGTTTTATTATAGGGGGTATTTTGTGAAAAAACAAATATATGAGATATTTTATTAATTTATAAATCCTACATCGTAATACCCGCCCAATTCAATTTTTTTTTAACTTTTTTCAAAAAACTTTTCCCAAAACCCCCAAATTTTGAACCAAACAGAGCCAAATATTCTGATTAATCCCAAGATCATGTTAATAGTCACCCATTATAATCATATTTTACATAAACGAATTATAATGAGGTTCACAGCATAAATACCTATTCTCCTTAAC